TTCTTCATCGGCGTCCCGATCTTCTTGAGCACGTCTACGCCGGATTTCTTCCTTTTGTTTATGTTGCCTCTCCAACACCCTCGACAAGTTTGACATTGAGAGTAGAATGTGTTTTGTAAAATCTGAGAAATGAAGGAATAGATAAGAGATGGTGTGAGAGGTATGAGTTGATGGTGTAGTTTTATAGAAGGATTTAGAAGATAGAGATGGCACGTGGCACAAATTTAGAGGATGAAAATCTTATTTGAAATATGAGATTATAAATTTTTAAAAATATATGAAAATCTTATCTGACATGGGACACGTGGCACAATTTTAGAGGGTGAAAATCTTATCTGAAATCTGAGATTATAATTTTAAAAAAATATCTGAAAATTTTATCTAACATTGGACACGTGGCACAATTTTAGAGGGTGAAAATTTTATCTGAAATATGAGATTATAATATTTTTTTAAATATCTGAAAATCATATTTGACATGGGACACGTGGCACAATTTTATAAGGTGAAAATGTTATCCGAAAATTTAATTACAAAAGATTATCAAAATTAATGGTTTAAAGTATAAAAAAAAATAGGAAATAAAGTACAATGAATAGTAATTGCCTTAGACTTGCCCTAGACTTTGCCCTCATGGGTGGAATCACAAATGCAAAGGCTGACACTATTCACGTGAATAGTAGCAGCCCTTGCTTGCCCTCACCTTAGACTTAGCCCTTGTGGGTGGAGATGCTCTTAGGTCTTCCATTTTGATAAGCAAGCACAGATCCAATGACAGCGGGAAAGTTAAGCATTGCATTACAAACATACAAGGTCATGGACCTCTCAACCAATTCCAATTGGTTGATATCGTGTGACAAACATGGCAAGACATATACTTTTTCTTTATGAATTATATGGATACTCAATAACAAGGTTGTTTTTTTTTCTTTCACCAAGTTTGGAAGGATGAGGTTGGTAGTATTATTAAGGGTGAGGGTCGACTTTTGACTTTTGAGTGGCCCAGACAAGAAATTGAAATGAGGCTCCTTTCCTTTTGTATACAACAGTTAACAAGAAAGAAAAATGATGCCCCTTTGCTTTTTTAAATGTGGGCCCTTGTGTTTAAAAAACTTGCGGTGATTTTTGTTTGGGCCTAAGAAAACCCTTGTAATATGAGCTTGAGCAGTTACGGAAAGAATATAATGAGGAGTTATGAGTGAGGGCGTCAATCCTACTATCCAATAAGAGAGAAAATGTTGGAATTAAACTTTTTAAATGAATGAATGGTGGGATTGAATAATAACACAATAACACGTGAGATACCTTTTAAGGTTTTTTAGGTTTTAGACATAAAAAAAATTTCACTTTTGAAAAAAACCAAAGCTTTTTCAAAAAAGACAAAAAAATCACTCAACTTTCAAATCAAAGACATGCAAATGTATTGGATTCCTTAGGAAATCTAAAAATAAATAAGGGCATTTTTGTCCATTTTTGCTTCTTTTAAAAATTCTCTCTCCTTTTGCTTTTTTCAAAATGTCCCAACTTTTTAAGTGTCATTGTGTTATTGGCCGAGGATACCTAAACAGTGCTATCCTCGTTACACAAGATTTTTTTTTTTTTCCAGTAGAGAGAGAGAGAGAGAGAGAGAGAGAGAGATTCAAAACCGCCTATGTGTTTTATCCCTAACGTGTCTCTCAGTCTACAATGCCCCAAAGGACCTGGAGCCATGGGGACATGGGCACGGCTTCTTCTTTCTTTTTTCAGTTTTTTTTTTTCCTTCTTTGTTCTTCATTTTTGTTGCACCCATAGCCCCCCAAAATCCAAATTAGTTGCACCCATTTGTGTTGAGTTTTATATAGAAGACATTAGGATAATGGATAAAGATTAATTCGCCTTATACGTAATAATTTCCATATGACATATTTCTTAACTATTAAGGTGCAACAAATTCTTTTTCCATTTACCCCATGTTTTCCGAATAGAATTCAATATATATAAGGGCAAGCACAATTAATTTGGATTCATGCTAACCAGGATGCATAAACATTACATACATAGATAATACTTATTTGGCAAAATAATAAAGTTTTTACTTTAACTTTGATTTTCATTTTAAAAAAAAATATTCCAGATTCATAGATTGGTGTAGTGGCACAATTACCCACAGAGGTTTTACCCTTTTTCTTTTTGGTGAGTTTGGGGCTCCAGGTCCAAAACAAAGATTAATGGCCCTAGTTTCATGGGAGATTTTATTAGCACTTCATTATTTGCTCTTTGCACATCATATTCTCTTTACATCTCACTGAATTTTAGTAAATTTTAAAATTACTCACTACACCTCATTTTTCTTCCTAGATTGCCCTCATGAACCTCATTCCTTAACTGACCTGTGTAAACCCCACTGAAATCGTTACCTTGTTCAGTGGTAGTCCACCGAATTTGTTTTTGTTTTTCAGTGGCTATCCACCAAATGTATTTATGTTTTTCAGTAGTAGTCCACCGAATTTGTTTCAGTTTTTTAGTGGTAGTCAACCGAAATGGGACTAATACTTGCAACCAATTTCCTTTAAAATTTGTGACGTGGACAAGGGAAATTAAAAGTTTACGAAAAACTTATTTTCATAATTGTAATAAGAAAATTGATTATAAAGGAAGAGGAAAAAGCAAGAACAAATATATGAAGATAAAATAAAAACTACATACATTTAACAAAGAACATCGTTTTTTTTTACAATCATTGAGGCACTTCTACATCCTAATACAGAGGACATCACCTTTGCTACAATTCTTGAGGCACTTCTAAATCCTAAGCTTTTGTTACAATCATTTAGGCACTTCTAAATCCCAATCCATAGGACATGAAAGAAATATTATATCTAACCCTTGCTTTCTACATTTCACATGCCATTTTCTTTGTAAATTTAGTTAGAACAATGATTTTAATAACACCAGAAGATGATGTGCATTCCAGGTATTGTTTACTAGGCACATTTAACAGAAAGTTCTAAACCTTTGAGTATGTTTTATAGGATAATTAGAACTTGTCCCCATGCCATAGTAGTTGAACATTTCTCACATCAAATCCTTGGCATTATGCATCAATAGCCTCTTCTGAAGGGTCCAGATTTAAATCAATGAAAGACAGCCTTTCATTTCTATTTTGTTGGACCTCATTTTGATCATTGTTTTGAACTTTGTTAACTTCCATAATGATTGTAAACACACACACACACACACACACACACACATATATAGGAAAAATACTATGTGTATGTACGAGAGAGTGAGAGCTACATTGTCTGCTTCCGCTTCATCTGCCAGCAAGCTTTTCTGTAGCATGACAGCCTTCAGGAAACATCAATGTGTTTGAGGAGATTATTGTTCTAATCATGGCACTTTCAATGTGGGAAAATTTAAAATTTTCAGTCCATATTCCAACTATTTCTATTGAAGCTAGAATGACAAGATTTTCCACATTTAAGAAGTGAAGGGCCTGAAAATTAAATTAGTGCATGAGGATTGCTTTTTTAAAAAAAAACCTAGGCCAATGACAATCACTGTGTAAGGAACTATTATATATCTACTTATGCAACAACTTACAGATTCAATAGCTACTAGAAGCTTCCAAAGAAATCCTTATCCTGTGTGCTTCGATTTGGTTCCCACAAAGGGCATCTCTGCCATCTATCTTCCGTGTATTCTGCAAAAACATAATGTGATAAAGAAAGTAAAGAAAGATACTCTTATTCATCTTCCTATAAAAGTTTTATGAGCCACACTCATGAACTTTACCTTATAGATACTGCATAGATGATTTCATCGTTCTTCTCTAGGATGGCAATATAGAAACCTCTAAAATTTAACCAACCCAAATTTGACCTGGAAAAGAACGATTTTACAAACAAATTTCAATTTAGTCATAAGATGATGGTATGAATGTTTATACTTATTTTGTGGGCAAAAGCATTAGATCAGGAACCGATATCTAAGAGAGGCAAAATATGAGATACTAATTATCAACAAAAGGATGTTCATACTAACAAAATATATTACAGAGGAGTGTCTGACTCTCACAAACACATATTGCAAATTCACCTAAATCATTCCCACGTAGATGAGTCAAGAACAAAATTCAGATTGGAGGACAAAACCATATTTGGAATAAATTAGCTCAAACAAAAAGATAAAAACCTCTAAAAGTAATTTTATGACACACATATGAACTTTACCTTATAGATGCTGCATAGATAAAAACATCTATAAAGGTAAAAACCTCTAAAAGTAATTTTATGACACACACATGAACTTTACCTTATAGATGCTGCATAGATAAAAACCTGTAAAGGTAATTTTACGAGACACACATATGAACTTTACCTTATAGACGCTGCATAGATGATTTCATCGTTCCTCTCTAGGATGACAGTATAGAAACCTATAAAATTTAACCGACCCAAATTTGACTTGGAAAAGAACAATTTTACAAACAAATTTCAATTTAGTCATAAGATGATGATGGTATGAATGTTTTGTAAGAATATTTTATAAATATTCTATGTGGCCCACATGAAGTGATCTATGTGGTAAATAAAGTATTTAATTGGTTTAATAAATATTATTCTGAATAATTATATTGGTCAAATAAAGAGAAGTGGTTTCCTATTTTATTACTGTGATGGGTGGTAATCGATTAATGGAACAAATTTCTCATATTGGTGTGAACAAGTCCAGTTTCACTTAGGTGTTATGGATCTTGATTTAGCACTCCGAATTGAGAAACCTGCTGCT